CATCGGGGGGGGAGGAGGATGTTTTGGCCTCCTCGGTGATTGCGGTGATTTGTGCCCAGAGGGCGCACCGCACAAAAAGTTAGTTGCGTTACAGAACGTAAGGGAAGCGGACACGCCAAAATGTCGGGCGTATTACCGCTAATTGAGGTAATTGCATCGTATCTGTCAGGTGGCAGAAAACTAGTATGATGTATCAATTCACATGCCAGGTGGCAGAATATGTCTATCATGTACATGCCAGGAGGCATAACGCTTGTAAACATGCCAGGTGGCATACGACTTGTAAATAAATTGTAAATAAATGTACAGTAAAATATCTTGGTGCAATAGATCAAGGAACAAGCATCAACAACCTTCTGATCATTTGGATACGTACAATAAATACTGGGAAGAAAGTTTTTTAAATTAGGATCCTACGCTTTTTCAAAAAAATGAACTTCCTTTTATATCCAGGTCGTTTACTTGAAAGCCTCCGATTTTTTAAATGTGCGTGTTATCATATAGTGGGTAGCTACCAAAAGATACAGGAAAAATTTCTGGCCAACGAAAATGTTTTCACGGCTCGTGAAATTTCTACCTCGGATACACAAATTTTGTGGATGAAATGAGCCAAGTATCATTACACATCCACCTTTCTAACCCTCCCGCAAGCGAATAGTATTATGAATCATCTTGAAAAGAAAAAGGGGATTCTCGTTCATTTTAGTGACTGGTTGCACAAATTTCTGCACGAAACTCTCTCGATCGTGGGACTGGGAAGAATCCATATTATATTCTCGAGGACAATCATCTTAATGAGTCCCCGACTTTTCAAAAAATTATCGAGCAAGAAAAGATGGAATGGTTGAAAAGCTACCTCATCTCTCTCACCGATGATGAGGAGGAGGAAGAGCCTGTTCACACGAAAAAGAAGTCTTTCCGAAAGCCTATCATCATCGATGAGGATGAGGAGACGAAGGAGTCTGTTTAGATTCCTCTCCATTTGTAAAACCCCCCTGGAGGATGAAAAACCACTCCATTTGTCAAAACCCCTCGAGGATGAAAAACCTCTCCATTATCAAGACTCCTCGAGAATGAAGGACCTCTCCCTTTGTCAAGACTCCGCAAAGATGAGGGACCTCTCCATTTGTCAAGACCCCTCGAGGATGAGGGACCTCTCCCTTTGTCAAGACCCCTCGAGGATGAGGGACCTCTCGATTTGTCAAGACAGGACCCCTCTATATCTCTTGATGATCAGAGACAGTCTTGACAAAGCGAGAGGTCCCTCATCCTCGAGGGTTCTTGACAAATAGAGAGGTCCTTCATCTTCATCCTTTGTCAAGACCCCGCAAAGATGAGGGACCTCTCCATTTGTCAAGACCTCTCGATTTGTCAAGACAGGACGCCCCCTATATCTCTTGATGATCAGAGACAGTCTTGACAAAGCGAGAGGTCCCTCATCCTTGAGGGGTCTTAACAAATAGAGAGGTCCCTCATCTTCGAGTGGTCTTGACAAATCTCGATCATCAATCGAACATCGAATCATCTCGATTTGTCAAGACAGGACCCCCTATATCTCTTGATGATCAGAGACAGTCTTGACAAAGCGAGAGGTCCCTCATCCTCGAGGGGTCTTGACAAATCGAGAGGTCCCTCATCTTCGAGGGGTCTTGACAAATAGAGAGGTCCCTCATCTTCGAGGGACTTTGACAGTTTGTGCATGCTCTAGCCCATACAGCGATGTCCTTCTGCATCTTTGCGCCTGCTTTGCAACTGCATGAGGAAAGAAGCGACGATTAAAGTTCAACATGGCCAGAAAACAGCGCAACTCCTGGACTGTTATTGGGTTCTGGAAAATTTTCAATTGTAGTAACTCTATCACTAAACGGGCGAACACCTCCGAGGAAACTTCATGACCAAGAAATGGCACTTGGGATTTCCCGAAAACATATATCGATGGATTGAAATCGGTCAAGAACTAAACGAAGGTGTTCAATGTGCTTATTTTTGTTTGTCGAAGCTACAAGAATATCATCGAAATATGGCACACAAAAATCTAAGTCATGAAGGACTTCATTTATGAAATGCTGGAACGTTTGTGCGGCATTACACAACCCAAAAGTTATAACAGGAAATTCAAATAATCCAGAAGGAGTTACGACAGCAGTTTTTGGTACTATATTCAGGTGGATTAATTGGAATCTTATGGTAAGCACGAGTTCACGTCCGGCTCGCCAATGTCGCGGTGTGCAGAATGCGACAATTAATATTTGTAGAGGTCTGGCTAGTTTTCACTGTATGATGAATTAACACACATAGAGATAGTTGATTTCAAATAATAAACATTTAATTACAATAATTACCACATAACTACTCATTACATTAACTTGAAGATATTTGCATCGGTGCACAAATACGACCGAGCGTAGAGTGACTTTAGCATGTCCCGAAAATCTCCTTTATAGTTACAGCTAGAGATTCGGCGAGTAACAAAAAAACAAAAAAAAAAAAAAAAAAAAAAAGTTCCTTTAGTATCGTCACAGTAAGTATAACTAAAAATGGAACACAAACCTGATATAGTTCGACCGTCTCAAACGCAACCTTCCAAATCACATAGACTCGTCTAAAAGGGGAGTTATTACTGCGATGTGAAAAGTCACGTGAAAATTTTCTCGTCTCCGGAAAGAGAGGATTTATATGGTCGAGGGAAAGAAAGTCACCATCCCTTCCCCACTATTTTGAAAATAATTCGGTCTGAATGGCGGATTAAGCTCATGGTCGCGGATGAGGCGGTCGAACTATAACTAATTGCTGGCAAAATAATGGTATCACTTTTATGATTTGTGTTAAATGGAGGTAGTTATAATTAAATTTATCTCCCACATTTTTACGATTAAATCTGGATAAACTCAATGTTTTGAGCATATCTTTAGAATTAGTAACTGACAACTAAAATTAAACGTCGTATTTAAATTCCATCGAGTAAAATCGATAAAAATCGGTGGCACTAAAGGTTCGCTTTTCATGACCGAATTTTTAATTCAAAATTATTGTTTCAATTATGTTTGTATACTACTTATTTCTGAATTTTTAAGGCATACCAAGTCCTTTAGTAAAAACCCATGAACTATATGAAAGGTTGTATAATAATTAATGCCAATGCATCGATAATTCCGAAAAGACTTTATTACCATAGATATTAACACCTACAGCCACTGAATTTTAAATAATTTTCAAAATTTTAAATAATTTTTTTTAAGCATTTGTATTTAAATTCGATTTTTTACAAGCATTTTAAAACAAATCAGAAAGTAAAATTCGCTCTGGTTTTGGTTTGGTTATTGTATTATGGTAAAACACTCGATGGCTATCTGCCTAAGGGGAAGGATGCCTTCACTGAGGGATTTTCATGAGAAACTGGCTCGTATAGATGATGCACACCAAAAAAAAAAAAAAAAAAAAACAGGCAACCAGCCTGTTCGTCGGCATTCGAAGCCACAGACCGAACTACCTGTGTTCAGCAAATTTACCGCTCAGCTGCTGGTAATTTATATTTTAATTTTGGTGTGATTCATAAAACAGAAGTTAAGATTCATAAAACTAGAACTTTCCTGCCTTGTGCATATGATTCCTATGAAACCCTCGGTCTGAATTTCAAGAAATTTTGATAAACTTTTTTAACCCAATATGCGTAAGTCATTTTAATTACACAGTATTTTCTAATATGGAAAGTAATTAGCTAAAAAGAGTGATTTCTTTATCTGTAAACTTTGCGTAATGCGCATTCCAATTTTATGTTGATGACGAAGAAGATAGAGGGTTCTTGTCGTTCGCCATTTAAACCATAAAATTCAATTCAACAGCAATATCGGAAAACAATTTTAAAATGAGCATATTTTTAGAATTTCCCATATACAGCCTCGCATACTGGAGATAATTTTTTTTTTTTCATACAGTGTTGCTCGCTTTGAAATCGGTGAGCTTGTTAATCAAAAACTCGTTAAAATGTTAGAAAATATGAAATCGAAGAAAATTTGATGGCTGTAGATATGTTGTTTTATCACAGTGCGAGGAACATACATACTGTTACGAAATGACCAACTGTGGCAAGATAGCTTCCCTGCGAAGCAGGTTTAGGGTTGCCAGAAAATGGCAAGAAAAGGCAGAGTTGCTAGATTTGGTGTGAAATCGCCTATTTGGAGTCAAATTTGGCTATATGACATAGACTGATGGAGAATCTTTTAGAATGAATTCTTACCGGTTTGGCCCAGAATGTTCTCAAAGGCAGGCCGAAAGCTATATAAACCCTGCTGGTACGCGGAGTAAAGTGTGTCTCATAGTCTAGTGTCAAGTTGGTCATCGAGTGTATCGCGAGTTGTAGTGTTGAGAGTCTCGAGAATACGTGGAGTTTCGAGAACGACCGAAGGAGCCGAGAGTTGTACTCTAGTGCTTTGTCATGGAGCTGTTTTCATTGTTATAGCCTGAAGGCTGTGTTGCTGATTGTTTCAGGATGTTTGTCGTAGTTTTTTTGGTGACTGTAATGAGTCTTTGGAGCTGTCCTGAGTAATATTGGCTTATAAATTGTGTTTTCATTCTTCATCAGGTGTTGTTAATCACTCCAAATCCACGACATCCTACAGGTGACAGTAAGAATTTGCTTAGCTGTGGCTCAGTTTTGATGGAGAATTCCTGCAGCACAGATCAGTAGGATTATTATTTCCTCTTCCCTTACCGCTCACCTCTTAACGAGGCACTCAGCTCGACATAATTTTATACAGCCCCATTACGCGAGGGCACTTGAAAACACAGCATCTTCTCGGAGATTTGAGCGTGGATCCAAGGTTTCCTTACCACCTCTCAACAGGGTAAACAGGGTAGCACAAGTTCTTTAAATGCATATGAACAACTTAAAGAATGTAATATGATATATTAAAAGTTGGAAATTTACTGTGTGAGTGTTAAATTGCTTGCCAATGAATATTAAGCATGCTCACATCAAAATTTAATGAGTCAAATAAGAATGAAAATCAATATAAATTTTATTTTCCAAAGTAAAAAAATGCACATTAAATTTGTATTCAATACATAAATTAATTGATAAAATATTTATCTTTGCCTCTTATAGTGTTTTGAAAGGATACTTTTTTGCCTTCACTGACAAAAGGGGCAATTTACTCAGAGGTATAATAAAAATTACTTTGTAACAATTCTTTATAAGCCAAAATCAACTTCTAGAAACATTATATGCTCACAAATAAAAACCATTCATAAAATCATTGTATAATTATAGAATAAAACTTACCAAAATTTGTTTTCTCTAATAGATCATATTTGGATGCTCATTCACAGTCTACAAATGTTTTGAATGAGACATTAACATGAGAGCCATAACGGCAAAAAATTAGAGAAGGATTGAGAGAGGGAAGGAAGAGTATAGTTTCGGTAATTTATATAAAATATAGCGCTATGAAAGACATCTCAATGAAATTTGTAGAGTATGTGCATACACATATGAAGCTTCCTCCTAGCACTTTGTGCATTGACATAGGTGATTCTAGTGTGTTTAAATAACTCAGAAGAAAATGGCAAACTACCACATCAACAATACATGTGAACATTTTGCTACATTAAAAACAATACAAATAAAATACTCTGAAGTAGAAAACCAATTTGCCTAAAGGCAAAAACACTTGAGTAAATATAGATGGTGAAAATATATACAAGAAAATATATACCGATTGATCCATCTAATGCAAGCAAAAGAAGCATTTCTGGTGGTCATCACCCAAATCCTGAATCACATGGATGCTGCTTAGATTGGTCATCTTTCCTTCAGCTACAAAGTTCTTGATGAGAAAAAAAGAAGAGTCACATGACTATATATGCGAGCAGCTTTAGATGATAACAATAGGTACACATGTGCAATCACTGAAGAATATAGTGCTATCATTTCGAGCAGCTTTAATTTAGAAATTATACAAATATGAATGTTGAGATAAAAAACTGATCAGAAAAATTAGCTTAGGAAAAAAATATTTCATTCTTAATTTAAAAATGAAAAAGTATACATATGAATCATTTGATAAATAATGAGAACAGCTCCTGTTTTTGGCATACTCATAATTCTATATTTAAAAATTTCTACTGGAAAGGGATGTTCTTCTTCCTCACCATCATATTTTGCAAACAAGGGAGGCACCATAAAAAAAGTTTCACAGCCCAGTCATATGATGCACATAAACAGACTTCTTTGGCCTGTGGTTTTTGTCCATCCCTGCCTTAGAAGGTTTTTCCACAAAGGCATATGTTTCCTTAAGCAGATAGCCCCCTGCGTGTTTTGCCATATTTGAATAATCTATCATAATAGGGGGAAAACTTCATATCTGCATGCACATACTTTTTAAAATTTCATCATGGTATCTTTCAGTATGTTTTTAAAAATAAGTTATGGAAAATTGTATACCTCTTCTGTAATAACTCAGAATTATAAAGTAAATATTAATGTGAAAAATAATGAAAATATTTAGAAGGCAGAATTCTGAAACTGGCCTCAGGTATTGTTCCTGTTAGCATGGCTCTGGCCAATACTATCAGCTTACTTCCATTTAAAAATTGTAAAATGTTCTAATGGACAGTTCGCAACTTCCACACACTTTAATCCCCCTCCCAAAATAAAAGCATCATACCTATAAATATTAAGATACCACATATAGTGAAATCTAACAGTCTAAATTTTATATTTTCCTTAAAACTTCCTGATAGGCTTTTAAAATTTCACCTGCTGTAGGCCTTGAAGCTGGATTAAAATCTTTACACATTTTATGAATATTGAACAACTTGTATTTCACTAAATCAGCATCTGAACTGTTTCCTAAAAACCAGTTACAAACATCAGGAATTTTATATATATCTGTTTTTTCATCATATAATGGCAATTTTTGAGAATCATATTCTTCACTAGCATAAGGCCATAACTGCTCAGGAGCAACAAACGATCCAGACAGAGGTCTGTTGCCGCAATGTACACCTCTTCCTGTTATGTTATTAACAACTGGTGTAGCATCTAAATCATTGATGACTAGCTTAAGGTCACTAGTGAGCAAATACTGAGACAGAGTTTTTTCCAGCGTGTTAGAGTCACACATAACACGTATCCCAAGAGGACTTGTATGAAGAAATTGAATTATGGTTACATAACTAATACAAAAATTTAAACGCACTTTAACTGTATCATATGATTTTAATGTGTGCATTAAATGATAGTTAGTATTTAAAGCACTTCCCAGGTCATGATATTCAGTCAAAATAGAGTTATTATTACAATAACCTAATAACTGTACTATGTGACTATGAGAAGCCAGATTTCTAAGCATGTAAATGTTTTGCATAAAATCATCTTCAAATTCTTTGGAGGAGAGTACTGAAAGAACCACTGTATGCTGTTTCCACCTTGCTAAGTAAATCTAAAAATAAGGAAATTGAATTTACCTACTTAAAAATGCAAATGAAAATTAAATTTTTTAATTACAAAAATTGAAAGTTATAATTTAAATGATAAAAAATTATCTAAGTGCAGAATTTAGAACTTTTCATTATTTAAAATAATCTACCTTCAGAGGAACATAAGTTATAATATTGTTTTATTTTTAAACAACATACTTATGCATTGTTTAATAACAAGAGATTTCATTTCAGAGATGAGGGTGGTAACAAATATTCTTCTTTCATGTTAAAATCTTGTTTCATGTTTTATGTTAGATTATTTAAAATAATCTAACATACTTATGCAATGTTTAATAACAAGAGATTTCATTTCAGAGATGAGGGTGGTAACAATATATATATATATAATTATAGAAATAATTTTGTTTCTATAATTATATAGTATATAATTATAGAAACAAATTTAACTTGAAATAACTGAATGATTATAAAAGAAAATAAGACCTAGAGTCTATTGAAATGAAAGAAGAATTGTTTTGGGCAAAATGGCAGTATATATATATATATATATCAAGCAAGATAGTAATTACAATACTCAATGACCAATTTGGTCTAGAAAACATCTTGCGCAATATGCTGCAAAATAAGTAAATTAGAAATTGTAGTAAGCTCGCCTAAAAGTTACCAAGAGCTGTTGCTCCAAAAAATTCAACATGTTTTAAAAAAATTAATACATATGAAAATCAAACCATTTAAGATGTAAAACATCAAAAAACAATAAAAAAAAACAATAAAAAACAATAAAAAAAATTAAAAAACAATAAAAAAACAAAATCAGATAAAAAAGTAAGCGGAAAATGGTAAATTAGCCTAACTCGACTTCCGAACTGGCTTTTCAAGGGAAATTTTATTTGTTTGAACGTCGAATCAAGCTAACCCCATTACGCGTTTTGCCGAAACAGACAATTGAAACTTTTTCGCTACAAAATTTTTTAATTTAGACAAAGTGTCTTGGAAAATTTTAATAGTCTCAATTCTCTGTTCCAATTTCCCGACGCGTCCGCCCAAAATGACACATTAAAGTGTTAAAATATGTAAAAACTATTCCGATACATCTTAAATCTAGACTAAAATAAAAATTAAAATCAAAATCAAAATAAATAGCGGTCTGCTATTAGTCCTAAATATACAAAAACATACGTGCTGGGCCTGCAAGCTTAAAGATTTATAATTTTATATATTTTAGAAATCTGTAATGAAAATCTGTAATTAAAATAAAAGAAAAGAAAAATAAAATAAAAGAAAAGAAAAGAAAATTAAGACGAAAACCAACAAAGTGGGTCTTGCTAAGACCAAGAAAAAGTTGTAACAAAAGAAACAAAAAACTGATCTGTGGCGATGCAGAGCTCTCCCTCTTAAAACTATGTTGAAAAGTAGTTGTAATTCCCTTCTGTGTACTTCAGTCGTGTGACGTATGTAGGGGGGAGCGACGTTCTGTGGGCATCAGCCAATACGAAAAGATTGTCCGTTAGCTGCAACTCGTCTCCAATTATCGAAGGGGGTCGGAAAACTCGGAAAAACGTGAAAAGATCTCAAAATGGCATCTGACATGTAGTTGGAAGAAAAAATTGGGACTAAAAGTGAAAATGGTTAATTCAGCTAAAACTACAAAACTTGGCCACAAAAGCAAGAGTAAAAGGAAAAAACAGTCATTTGTTAAAAAGTCGTAATTCTTCAAGCTAGCGGGTGATCAAGCTACTATGAAAAACGAAAAGGCCCGATTTGTTAATAAAAGCAGTAAAATTGGCCATTATAGAAATTTAAAACTATTTACACAATAGTATTTAAAAGTAAAGTGCCAAAATTTTGGAGGAGAGAGAATGAATAAACAAGAATTATCTGTACATTTTTTCATTAGATTCTCTGAATCAGTCATCCATCTTAAACCATCCTTCATATATATATACTGTATAATTTAAATGATAAAAAATTATCTAAATGCAGAATTTAGAACTTTTCATTATTTAAAATAATCTACCTTCAGAGGAAAATAAGTTATTGTTTTATTTTTAAAAAACATATTTATGCATGTGTTTAATAACAAGAGATTTCATTTCAGAGATGAGGGTGGTAACAAATATATATATATATATATATATATATAATTATAGAAACAAAATTAACTTGAAAATACTGAATGATTATAAAAGAAAATAAGACCTAGAGTCTATTGAAAAAAAGAAGAATTGTTTTGGGCAAAAGGGCAGTCTTTAAGTTTAACCCATAAAACAGAAAGTAAAATAATAAAAATATCACAATGCAAGGAATTTCCCTTTCTTTCTCTAACAGGATAAAAAAGCTAATTATATATAACAATTAAATGCTTTCTTCACCAGAAAAATCTTTTTAAATGTTGCATAGAATTAAATTTTTAGCCCAAGAAAATACATTATTAAAGGGACTCGTACACCTTAAAACTTGTAATATCTTCGAATATGTGACTGTTACAAGAATTGGAATAACTTATTTATTTTTGGGCTGTTCGGTGATATCTCTTGTATGCCGTTGTGTACTGTCTGCTCAGGCGGCAATCCCAAGCTGAAGCTGAAGAACTTATTTATTTTAAAAGCAGTTACTTCCAACTTTTTACAGCTGACTACATAATACAGCTGCTTTCTGAAATAGTAATGAGAAAGTTTGTGTTTCCACAAATATTTTTATAAGTTAATCTGCTTTGTGACAAAATGTTTCGTCATGTTTCCACCTTGCATGCACAGTTTAAGACATTCTGTTGCATAATTTAATTCCATGTTTAATATACAGCTTTTACAACATTTGGAAACTACTGTGAACCAAAAATTCTAAGAATTTCATGTTAAATTTTTATTTTATTTGGAGTTGAGTTTATAAAAATATTATTAAAAAAATCTGTAATGTTTTCATGAATAAATTTTTTAATATTAAAATATTCATCAGATTTTTGGTTCAGTTAGAAAATAGTGCCCATATAAAGAATGCCATCAAATTTCAAGTATGTACTATTAGCCATTTTTAAAATATCATGCGTGCAAGGTGGAAACATGATGAAAAATTTTGTCACAAAGCAGATTAAATTACAAAAATATTTGTGGCAATATTTGTTAGCCTCACTATTTCAAATAATAAAATATATTTCTAACTATATATATTACGGTCCAGAATTATCGGTGCAAAATACTTGTTTCTGAATCACTCAACAGTGAGTTATTTATTCTGGTTGATATATTGTAATATTTATTTAATAAAATAATCTAATTTCATAACTATAATAAACTAAATCGGAATAGGAATTTAATTTCCTTCCCCAAAGTTTTTGAATAAAACTGAATTTTATCAGTATCATCTTTGTGCAGAAAGAAATAGGTCAAATTGTACCTGCATTATATGCTTAAGAATAAATGGTTTATTTTTCCTTATTTTTAACTATATTTACTAAACATTAATATAAATTGATTTAACTTTTAATATTAAATCAAGAATTATGTCAACTGATAAAACTTTGACCAGAAGGGATGAAGCCTTATGCATAGTGCTTGGTCAAACAGATAAATAAACAAATACTTTATTGTTCTATTCGAGTGCTCCACACAATATGCAAAATGATTTATTAATAATTTGGTCATTAGATTGTTATGTAATAAGCATCTTGTCATCCCCCCAATAGCGGGCTCTAGCCATATTGTCCTTAACATATGTATACATAAATGTTTTGCAAGTTACATGGAGAACTTGTCAATTGAGCAAAGAAAATCACTGAATTTAAACTTACCGTTTTTACTACACTAACAGAAAGTGTTAATAAAGGAATTATTTTTGTACCACAATTCAGCCATGGATGACATGTTACCATTCCTGGTAATGCAAAATATCCACGTGGACAGACAGGTCTGCAGACTGATACATTCCTGATAAAATCTACAGAACAAACCATTTCAGCTGAATCATTTTTAGTGAAAGCTCTATTCTTCATATATAAAGCCACAACTAAAATGCTCACAGTAACATACAAAAGTAGTTTGCTAATATAACTCATAGTATTCTTCTGTTGATTCCATTTGCACTGACTGACGCTTTCCCACATAAAGAAAACCTGAAGAAATGAACATATAAAAATTGTAAGAATTTTCATCTAAAAAAATGTACACAAAAATGTGAATCAAATGACAACCAAAAGAAGGAATTTTTTTCTATAAAAGACTAGATTACATGTATGATTAAATGGTATATATATATATATATAATTCAATTTCATTTAAAAATTTAATTAACTTTAAATTTGCTTTTGACGAACAGAGAATGTTTGTTAAATATAAGTGTACCTGTATATAAGAATAAATAAAAAGTAAAAAAACAGTTCAATACAATTGTGAACTGATAGCAACAACAGTGGTAATGATGTAAAATAAGCATCTTGTATTTATTTTTTTAATTTATGTAAATAAATTTAAAAATAAATACATTTAAAATCCATCCCATATTAAATTTGGGATTAAACTATGTGCAAAAAACAAATAATAAAGGTACTATGACAAACCTCAAGAAACAGGGGAACAAAACATGCCTAAAACAAAAATGAGAAATGATATTTACATCTTTTGCTGCATCGTCATCAAGGGAGTTGGTGCAACACAAAAAGTAAATGAAGTCCTTTATCTTGGGATGATCCTCAGTAAAACTCTATCATAGTACCCACACATAATATCTATCCTTAATAAGTTTTGAGTTAGTAAAGTCACACTTCATCCCTTAATTTCTCGAAACAGTGTACTTTCAATAGACAACAAGTCGTTTATTTATAAAACTGTATTGTGTCTCATACTATGCTATGCCTGCCTGGCCAGGGCATATTCATGCAAATCTTATATCAAAAATTGCAAGACGCACAAAATTGTGTCCTAAGACACATTACCAATTCGCTCTGGTACGTTCGAAATCAAAAGTTATATGAAGAATCGGGTATAGAACAACTTAAATGTTTTTACTGCCAGCTCGCCCGGAACTTTTATGCCAATCTTGTTAATATAAACAACCCAGTTATAAGGATTTACAATTACGAATTTAATGACCCAAATAATAGTAAACGGCCTATGGCCATACTTAGTATCCATATTGTATAACTTATTTAATCTAATATGTACTTTTTAATATTGTGTTATAGATTTTAAGGTTTAATTATTACTAGTGCACCAAGAAACTCACACTACTTTGCCTATTATTTATACGAATGTTTTTTCTGCATCAGGCTATAGCCAGCTCATTCCTCCTCTCTCGGTCTTCCCAGATAGTACTTCAGGTTTATTGAAACTTGACGCATACTTTAGTCTTTTTAGAAATTTATCTTTTAATTTATCTCTTATCTTATTTCTATTCTTATAATTTAAAAAATGTTAAAAACATGATTTAATTATATAATTTTATATTATATATTAAAAAAAAAATTCTAAACACCCTGGTGCTACACTGTTTTCCCCAGTACATCTAAGAAGTAAATAAAATAGCCTGTTTTTGAATTGACAAAGATGCAAATTAAAATAATCTCAGAAAAACAACCTCTTTTTTTATGCTATTAATTTTACACTGCTTACTTCAGCCTTGAAGGAACTGGTCTAATAAAGATACAAATTACCTTGATTGCTTTTCTATGATTATTTTAAAATTTTAATTTACACTCATCAATTCAGAGACATAGAAACCGGCTATTTTGCTTATTTACTACTTTCGTTGCACAAACCCCAAAAGATGATGCAGCAAAAGATGTAAATATCATTTTAGCATGTTTCGTCAAATGAATTTTTTTTTATTATATATCTAACTGCTAATATCTTTGTGATTAGAAAATAGAAACATATGTAATATGACACTCACAGACAGATGTGGTTGAAAACAAAAAAAAAAAAAAAAAAAAAAAAAAAAAAAAAAAAATTATTTCTGGATGTTTAATTTGATATATAAACTCATTTACACATCATTATGGATATGATAGAACCTGACAATTTTATATATCTTTCATATGTTTAAACAATGGGTCAGACAGTTATGAGTGGCACATACTGGCAGAGCATGAGAAGAGTTAAAAATGAATCAAAATAAGTAGCAATATGCATTATTTTTATATGAAGCTATATCACAAACAAATATATGTATTACAAATGAATTTATTATTAGTTATAATGATATTTTTGCAAACTGTATAATTGAGAATCTTATTCATATATGATCTTTGCATGAAATAAAAACCACACACATTTACAACTAGTTTCTAACATTCATTCCACGCCAAAGCCAGCATATATTCAAAACATAATAGACTGAACTTGAAAATAAACAATGAGACTTTGATTTTACCACACCAGTGCGTGGTTGGCACTTGAGACATCACCCATCACAATGCAGCAGAGTTCGATTGGCTCTTCCACATTAACGCCAAATACTGGCCAGTGCATGATCGGTAGTGAATGTGTTAATTTTGAGATGACACACTTTAGATTCATTAGGGGTACTTTGGTACTACCACAACAACCTTGGTACAATTTGGCGATTTTTTGAAAAAGAAAAAGAATGATAATTTCAAATCGGAGAAAGTTATTGATTTCATATCATGCAAGCTATTAGATAAATTCTTTAATTTTAATTCAGTGTTTATTCCAGAAAACAGTATAAAACTACTTACAAATGGTATCTCTGGCATATAATTATTCCAGTCTAACACAATTGTTACTGGCCATTGATAACTCTATCAAGCAAAATTTAACACTTGTTAATTTTTAACTCCAACAGTATATAAATATGACTGCAATGGCAGACAACCATCACTCCCACTCGACTCAGATCACTCGTGAAGACTGTCCCAGTCCAGTAGGCGGACAGTTAAGTATTTTGTGATTTTTGCGTTAATACAAAATTATTCTGATCAGGTACCCTTGGGTACAAGAAATTGTCCTTTTTTAGGGCTTATCAACTGATGATGAATTGGATTTATCAACTGATGATGAATTGGATTCGGAGAGATCGATTATGTCCAGGAAATCAATGCACTTCCCGATAAGGAAAGATTACCTTAAATCACCAGTAAAGAAAAGCAAAAAGAAGTAGATAAAAACTACCTCAGAATCTGATGTGTCGCATATAGGAAAACACGAACTGAAGGCAATCAATTTTAGTGAGCTCGACCAGATTACCCCGGAGGATTTAATGAAGAGTAGGGATTTAACGGAAGTTATAGAAAAGATCGTCGCTATGGAAACACGAAATAAAATTTGTAAAAATCCTGAAGAGCACGATGAAGAGAAGAAAAACTCGGGCTCGTGGATCTCGCCACGAAAAACTGAAAGTGAAGGAGGGAGTTACTTCCATGGAATTTCCCAAGAAAATACATATGCAGAGTTGCCAACTCTCCCGATTTAGGCGGGAGACTCCCGATTTTCGACCGCTCTCCCGCCAACCCGATTTACAATATATTTCTCCCGACTTTTTCTTATTCTTAAAATTTCTCACGATTTTTATGGAACTTGGCTTAATACTTTGTTATATATATATATATATATATAAAGTGATTTTGGCAGTCTGAAAGCAATTGAATTTTCTCTAGGTTATATCTAAAACAAAACCTTGCGAATTAGATAACTTCTGCTTTGTAAGTGAGAGCAGAGCATATACGTATCCAGAAACATCGTTCTCCAGTTCTCCAATGGGGGCATCGTGCTCCCACTACGTGTCATCTGGCATATATTAATTAGCCAATGAGGTCAAAAAGCAAGCTGTTATTTGGATGTTCTTTAGTTATTTCGGTTCATTTTGTCCTGAGTTGTGTGAGTAACACGTGCCTTATCGGGAAATAGTTTTAGAAATTATCATCTTTTGTTATGTCTGCCAGAAAGGTGAAATACTCGTGTACATTTCCAAAAATCGTACACAGTTGACTTTCTTTCCATTATTTCCTCAAAGGAAATGTAATAAATTTGCGATGTGTACTGCCTGTCAGTTGTGCGATTTTTTGATTTCGCATGGTGGAAGGGTGGATGTTCTCAAACATGTGCGTTACACAAAAAACACAAGGACAACATGAGTTGTACGGTTTGAAAAAAATGGAAAAATTAAACTTTTCTTCGGAAACAGAAGGACCAAAAAGTTATTAATGCAGAATGTCTGCTGATGGAATTTTAAAATATAGGGAGCTGTCTAGAATTATGTTGGCCATCTTGACAGTTCCCCATAATAATGCAGAGTGTGAGAAAATTTTCAGTATTGTTGCAAAAACGAGGACTAAATTTAGATCTAATATTAGTGATGACACATTAGAAAAGCTTTTATTAGCGAAAGCAGGCCTACGTGGCAATTACTACGAACAAAATTATGAAGTTTCTTTCTTAAAGAAAGCAAAATCTGCCACTGTTTATAACATTTGTACGAAAACTAATTAAAGTGGTTTTCTTTTTTATTAATCGATGCAAGTAATAAAAATGTTTTTTTATGTGTAAGGTATTTTTGTGTTGCTTGCATTTAAGAATTAGTTACTATTTAAAGTTAATTCATTATTAAAAACTATATTTTCATCATTTAAAAAGTCTTTTTAACATTGTGAAAAGTCTCCCGATTTCTTAAAAAAATCTCCTGATTTTTGAGTGTCATAGGTTGGCAAGTATGCATATGAAAAAACAGAAAGCACAAATAAAGATCCTAACATAAACCCTGACGAATTACCCCCTCCAATTGTTTTACAAGGTAAAGCAGACTGGCTGAAAATCGAAGAATTGCTACGCGAAATACGCACAGAAGAATTCGAAGCACAAATGAAGTCAAATCTATTTTTATCAAAGTTAAAACCGCAGATGATCATAGAAAAGTCATGAAATTATTCAACGAAGCAGAAATCCCATTTCACAGGTATTTAATGTCTCATGAAAAGCCACTCAGAGTCATCCTGAAAGAATTACCAGAAGATATTAAAGTAGACGCAATTTTCACCGATCTAGAAAGAAGAAAATTCCCAATTCTAAAAGTGAAGCTATTTAGCCGAAGTAGAAGAAACAACTTTGATAACCTGCCCATCTGACTCCTAGAACTAAAGAAAAATAAAAATGGTTATGCAATTCATCAATTAAATAACATGTTCAGCGTAAATACAAAAATCGAAAACTTCAATCCGCGACGAAGACCAACACAGTGCTATAGATGCCAAGAGTGAGGCAACTCGCAACATCTATGCACAAACTCAGTAAGATGTTGTAAATGCGGCGAAGAACATAGGAGCAATGTTTGCCCACTAAAACCAGATGAAAAACCGGTTTGCATTTTCTGTAAACAAAATCATGTCTGCAGTTACCATGGTTGTGAAGTTTGTAAGGCAAAAATTTGAGAAGAGATCAACACAGCGAAATCAAAAGCCGGAAGAATTTGTTAAGAAGGACGAGGAGTTCCCGCAGCTTATTGAAGCCCCTAGAAAAGAAACAGGTAGCTCAAGTAAATCATTTTATAAGAAAAAATCAGAGCAGCGAAAGGAGTAGCGGAAAAATTAACAGAAGGAAAAGATTAAATGTTATAACCACTTAGGAAGAGTAATTAAGGACTTTGATTAATTTTCATAAATTTCTTCTCCTACACACGGATTCACCGTTTTCAAGCAGAAGCGGCCGGGGTCAGTTCTTCGGAGGGTGACCTCCCACTTGACTGCCTCTGACCAACCACCACAGACTGTCTATAGAGAGGATTTCAGCTACTACAGAGAAGACTTTTCCCTTGCTTGACCTCATGGCTCTGCCACTACGACCGTTTTCGCCTGTGGGCGGGGTGCTAAGAAAAGCATCCATTAATTAACTTAATGCACTTGATGAATGAATGATGGCTTTAGGCACTTGATGAATGAATGTTTAAAACTCATAGTAGTTGGCACCGTAAATGAAGTGATGATTCCTTGATTCCAGACAACCATTCTCAAACAAATTGCTGCTTCGAATGCTGACATGTTTCATTACACTTTTTCACTTTGCATTCTGAAAAGGGCTACTTTCCAAAAGACAATATATTCAAATGCAAATATGAACACTCGGACCTTTGTGGAAAAATATTATATTGGAGCAAAAATTTCACAGAACTTTTTTTGTTTGCAGGCTCCTTTAAATGCATATTTAAAAATTTAGCTGAAGACCAAAAATATCGCAATCTGCCTTCAGAGTTTCTAATGTAACTAAAACAGCATGAACGAAAATTACAGTGCTGCTTATTCAAACTTACAGTTATCGATATGGTTAGCTGAAGAATTGTTTTGCATATCATTGCCACAGTTTGGCGACTTTGACCAAGGTGATTGCGATAATACCAAAGTACCTCATTAGGAAAAGGAAGGGGCAGTAGTCAAATTAAAATGAGGAATTAAAAAAGACTATTGCCAAATTCAAATCGGTTTTTTTTTTTCACATTTTACACACACACACACATATGTAAGAGAAAATAAATTTTACCTTGTGGTGGCAGAAACTTGTTACAACTAGTTAAAGACAGCAAAAATGAATAAAACTAATAAAAATATTATTTATTTAATAGCACTAATTAGGACAATATTTAAAATGTTTCACTTAAAATAAGCATAATTTTATTAAATTACTTTTAATAAATAAAATGGTGTTTATATTTTAATCACTATTTTCTTATGAAAGTGGCTACTGAGTAACTAAAATTGGCAAATTAAATTACTCAATGTGCAAATTTTAAATGTCACAAGAGACTTGCGTGGTTTTCACTTTAATAACAAAGTACTTATATATAAATGAAAAGTAAATATTACTTTAATCAGTAATTTTAGTGATGGAAAAAGAATAAATTATTACATTTCTTTTATTTATGTCTTCAGATTAAAAAATATAGGCCTTAAAAATAACCTTTCACAATAAGAATAAAATAAATAAATGAAAAAGAAAAATTAATCCTCATCTGCTAATTTTAAATGCACCAATCACACAAGCTCTATTATTGAAGTTATTGAACCGATACCAGCCATAGCTTGTCTTACATATTTTTTAGGTAATTTCATGTTTAGAAATTTCAAATATGATTTGTTGACACCTTTTAATGGTATTATGTCTAATTCTCTAATTCAAGAAGTGGTAGATCAGCAGATCCAATTCAGGTTTTTATGTATAAAAATTAATAGAATGGTTATAATAGATGCATCAATAACAAGAAATTAGTAGTGACCCTACGAAATGAAAATGGACCAGAAAATATGAAGTGGTGATATCAGTAGTAGGCAGGGCTATTCAGTCAAATTATTTATTATTTCTTAATTTTTGAGAAAAACTGTAATTTCAATCAGTAGTTTCAAATAAAATGAGCTCTGCTATTTTAATTTATTATTTAACTACTTGCCAACAATTTAATTTATTTCTTTGCATTTTAATTATTTACTTTTATTCATCTTTCCTGGCCTTCCACAAGGCTCCGGAACTTCTAATTTTAAAATTAAGTCCTGGCAGTATGAATAAGCAGCAGGTAGACCTACCTTCCAATAAGGAAGTTAATGGAAGTACATAATTATTTGCAACACAATTCAGCTGTGCTTACAAAGAAACCAAACATGGCATCTGAAGAACACACATACCACACATAGCAGGCCTGTATGAGAGATTTTATTACTAAACCAACTTCAAAGGGCAAAGAATCGTTCCATGAGGCAATAGCAAAATTCTTTTACAGATGTAGTACCCACTTCTGTACTGGCAAATAAATATCCAAAAATTGCACTTACAGTATTTACTCAAGTATTCCCCCCTTCTTTTTACTAATTTTATCAATACAAAAACTGAGATAAGAAAATTATGAGAATTTAATTTTCAAAGCATGCAGTTAGTTATAATAAGGACAAAACATGAAAAGTATTCATGGATAAACTTTTGTAATCATGATACCTAATAAGATACCTTCATTGCTGCTTCCCTGTGTTTTGAGTCTCACTTGCTTGTATTGTTGTCTACAGCTACTTCACAGGCCTCAATCATTTAATGCTGCTGGAGCTGTGTCGTCTGCTATAACTTGCAAGTCGTTGCCATCATCACCATTACTGCCTTCATCACTTTTTAGACTGTCCACAGAAAAATTACAAATTGAAGAAAGTTGAATTTCAAAAATAGCATTGTGCAATATACTTAAATAAAAAATTAATGAAGAATTAATAAAAAATGCAGCTGCCTCAAGGAAGTGCAAAAGAGACAGAAAATCAAGAGATGCTGAAGTTGCTTTTTTTTAAGAACTTTTTTTTACGGGTGTCATTTCCCCATTTATTTCAAAGATTCTATTCATCCAATAATAACAACTTTCTTATTTTTCTACTTAAGACGTATATAGGTCCTACAATTAAAGTCTTTCTTGTATTTAACTGGCCTCAGCTATACACCAAAAATGCTATAGTTTCATATTTTCAAAATGAAATCATAAAAATGTTAAAAAGTTAGTTAACAATTATAAAAAAATTCAGATCTGCACGCCTACTTTTCATTAAAAAAATTTAACTTTGGTTTTTCAAATGAGAACACTTTCTTCACTCAATTTTTAATATTAATTAATAAATATTAGTATAACTTCATATACTAATCTATATTAAAAAATTGGTTAAAATATTTTGCTCACTTAAATATCATACTACAATTTAGTTAGTTTTTCTCCCAGAGATAACTGCAGGGAAAAAACTAATGATTTAAATATATAAAAATTTAGTCATTTTAAGTATGTATATTGATGAACATGAAATTAAGTTTCAAATAAATGTCTCTTCTGCATGAAAACTGGGTACTAATATATTTTCTCCAGAACTTTGAAAGTTGGTGAAGATTTCACCAAACATAGAAGTTTGAAGGAATACACCACTTTTTATTGATTTATAAAATCAACAGACAAGCTGTGGATACAGCATATAAAAAGCTTAAATATGAGCTCAAGCTTGTGTTAGTCATACAGCAGGAAGTTTAGAAAGAAGATTTCTCTTTATTTAGTTAGATATTACCTGGCCTATTAAGGATTACTCGAGATTACAGAAAATCAAGATCCTATAAGTGTTTTGTGATGTCAGGCTAATTCATTACACACTGGAAACAATTTTTGTGTGTCAAAAATGGTTGACAGAAAATATGAAATACTGAAAACAGAATAGTATACACTGAAAGGCACTTAGCATTAATATTTTTGTAACAGTTATAACTTTTCTATCTTATAATAAAATCAATATATTGATTTTCCTTAATTTTCATTATTAATTGCTTCTCCATTTTTATGGAGTGGTGGGGTAAGTGACTACAGAAACAGACCAGCGTTTATCTATGTCAATCTCATTTTTCGATTTATATATATGCTCCTGAAAGAATTCATTATCCAAAATTTCTTTTTGCAATAATAAATAACAACAAATTTGGGCGAAATGAAGATCTTTATGAAGACATAGATTCAGATATCATAGTTTTGAACAATACAGCACATGCTGTTGAAACTACCGTATTTTGTCAAACAGCATATGAAATTCTGATTACTAATTTTACAAAACAGTTATTTTGACGGTGTATATGACTGAAAAACTAAATATGATAAATATATTATTTAGCATTTATTAAATACCAGCTTAGGTAATTCAAATCAGTGGAAGTTAACTTTTGCGAGGCGGGCCAATTTAAGACATGCTAATGCTTCAAAAGGTATATAATATTCTTTGCTTATCTATTATAAGATATTATTCTATAATAATAATAAATATAGATTACTTCAAGTGGGTCCCTATTTCTAGAATTAGAACAGCTGCAGCCCTTTGGAAGACAATCAGGATAAATAAAAGTAAATAAAGAAATAAATCAATGACGAACAGTTAAATAATATATCATATAAGTTTGAGAGATCACTGCAAGTTCTTATTTAGAATGTAGTCACCAAAATCAGTTTTCTTCTGTAAGGTTGTCAGAAATTACTAGTTACACACTGTGTGCTATAAACTATTGTTAAAAGCACTAAGATACAAACAGAAAGTTTATACTCAGCAACAACAAGAACCATTTTTTCTCAATCTTTATCACAGGCTGCATAAAATGGTACTCTTCAGTTGTTTGGACTGGAATTAGAAATGTATGTATGTTTGCATATATGTATACATATATATGCACACACACACACATGAACATGTACATTTCTGAATCCAATGCTGATAACAGAGGAATACCCATAAAATTAATTCACAGGCCATATGTGGCAAAAGGTGGCAACAAATTTATGGTGGGCAGTGTATCCAAATTATATGAATCCAGTGCGTTTATTTGTTTAACACATTAAAACACCCAATTAAACATAAATGTGAGTTTCTAAATTTAAGCTTTTACATAAGAGCTTCCTAATGCTAAAGTTATTGTACATCCACATTTAATTCTCTAAAAATTTCTTTAGACACCTTGCTGTATTTGTACCCCACAAATAATATATTTATATTTTTGTCGTTAAAAATGAACTAAATAGTATCAATTTCGATACTGTTTGTATATCTGTGAATATTTTCAGCATACTTAAATTTGTATTTTATGTACCCTAACTAGATTGTTGTTCTACACTTTGAATTCAAAGTGCAACTGATAGAATTTACAAAATTAATAAAAATCAGGTTTTTTAATGCAACATGCTACTAGTATCATATGGCTTTTATTCTCTTACTTACTCTGCAAATGAATTTTTTATTTGGGCAGAAATGAAATCTTATTTTTTTATTACCATCTTCACTTCAAACCTATCAGATACTTTTTCAGAAATCACTCTAATTTATTAGCGTTATTTTTTATGGAAGACTTTTAGAAATGTGGCAACTTTTGAGAAAAATAAAACTTCGATTACATAAGATGTCCTGAAATGCAATGAAGTTATGACTTCTTCCAACTAATAGAAAAATGATGTAACGTTTTTTGAAGGAAGCCCAATCTTCTGAACAATTGAAGTGAAAAAATATTTATATGATGGTAAAAATCTCATTTTTCTTTATGACTAGCTTTGCGGACAACTTTATCTTTGGACAACTTGACTTTGATTTCAAGAAATATAATACTTAGTTAACGCTATTCAACAACTGAAGGAGAATTATTATAGAAGAATTACAAGAAATAATTATTTTCTTATCTCATTTCAAGAAATACCTCTATTATTATCCAGTTAACGCTGTTCTACAAATGAAATAGAGAATAATTATTTTCTTATTTCAGCTGTGCAATGAAAGTACTTTATAAAAAGAGCAATGAAAATAACATTTCACTCTGGTACATCTAACAATACACTATACAACATGCAATACTGAAAACGTGATTTAATGATAATTTCTCATCGCAAAGAAAACACGATACAACCAGATCAAATGTAACTTCACGTTAATAAAAAAAAAAATAATAAACCTCGTACACAAATCACATTAAAAAACTGCACAATTTAACTGCTCGACAAAAAACCTTTACTAAATTGCCGATATAACAACCGGGAAATTAAATTAGTATACCAAAAACAGTAAACTGTTGGTGGTGCCATCTAGTAGAAATTTAAGAAACTAAATAACTGAAATAAAGTTGAATTAATTGTTTAAACCCAGTGGTTGTCAATCTGTTTTGCCCAATACGCCTTTTTTACCACTGCTAGGAGATCATTCACCTCCCTTTCCAAAACTTGAAAATACAGTCATTCCAAATAAATGCAGATGCATTTACTTAGGCTTAGATTTCCTTTTAATATGTTTTTATAAATTAAGTAACAAAAAGTATAGAAAATGTTGATCTATACAAGCACTTGAATAAAAGTAGCTTTTTATATATATGAACTAAAACACTTAATAGCTAAATAAAAAACTGACCGCATTCTCCTCGGAAGGGGGAACAAATGTTTTGGTCGAGTGAATTGCAGATATTTCTCATGAATGGATTTCATCTAAAATTTCTATCACTCTGTCAGATTCTCAATGAACTCTGGAGCTTCCGGCTCTGTCACAATGTATTAAACTGGTGTCAAAACCCAGAAAATTTAAGGCAACAAGCATTTGCTGCCTTAAATTTTTCGGTACTGTTGCATATGGTAAAATTAAGATAGGTTTGGTTTATTTGATTACCGCAAAGTACTCTAGGGCTACTTGCCTAAGGGAAGGCATGCTTTCGTAGAGGATTTTCTGAGGGAAACTGCGAGCCAGTTTCCCTCAGAAAATAAATACGAGCTATTTACGTTACCCATGAGTAAACAATGAAAACGCCCCCTCAGCGAGTCTGTTCATCTGGAATCGAAGCTAGGTCGAACTACCAACGTTTGGCGACTTTACCGTTTGATAGCTGGTGAGCGATTAAGATAGATGTATACCCAAGCAATAACATTCAGCGGTCCACAGAATCCTTTTTATTTGTTTTATGACACGAAATTAGGATTATAAGGAATTGCAGGATTATTTTAGGGCACCCTAAAACTTGGTGCTCTATGCGAAGGCCTGTTGGGCTTAGGGATTGATTCAATTCAAAGGTTACGTATATGAAGCTTCGTTTACTTTCAAGAGTAAAGATGCGTACATCATTTAAGGTCAACCTGCTGATCAGTCACAGATATGAAAGCTTTAAGCGCTTCAAAACCTGATTTTTACAAGGAGTAGCTTATTCTTGAACCATTACGTTTACGTAAAACCACAGGTGATTAACCTGGCATGAGCGCCTGGTAAGCTCGTATCTACGACGAGCAATCCGTGCTTTTACTGTTGCTCCTTCACTGCACTAGCTCTTGTTGACATGTTATAATATGCAATTTTGGCCCTGCGAGCCGTTGTAAGCTAATTAGCAACTAAGCCGCTGTGGGCACATAGCACTGAGAAAGCAGTATGTTGAAACTTTCCTGACAGGAAAACTGAAATAGGTTGGAATGACCCCTATTTCATCTTTTTGACTCTAACAAATGGCAGTTAAAAGCAGAGAAGATACGCTTATCACATGTTATGAATTGAGTGCGAAGCATTCAAAGAGAATAAAGCATAGTAAAGCCTTGGGAAATGAAAGCCTCATTTCACGAACAGTTCGGTTTACGAACACATTATCTGAACAAAAAACATGTCGGAAGATGAACGGTGTCTCAAGTTACAAACAACCTATGATTTTTCAGACCTATGATTCAAGTCAGCAACCTATGATTTTTCAGACGGTTTTCGAGGTAACCTGTGCAATTAGTTAACTCTTAACACCTTCCAGAAACATCATTATTCAGAAACATCATTATCCAAAAGCATCATTATTTTCCATTCGTTAACTCTCATCAGCAAGGCCTGCCAGTAAGTGATTTCTAGGAACATGATTTCAGCCTGGAGGAAAATTATGGCCAGAGAGGCTAGAGGTAGAGATACTGAACACTATGACATTTAGGGCGTTTTTGTTATCTGTGATGTGGTGTCTCTACCATGTGTTAGGAAGTTATGTTTCAAATGATCAGAAACTATCTTAGCTTTATCAGCAACCGAAAAGGCTATATAACACCCGCGATAATGAGCAGTTTGTATATGTGCTGAGTTTCGAATGATATGAGAAATTGTCAGAAGGATTCATTGTTTAATTTCAAATCTACGATATTTTCGTTCGTCTGCTTTGAATTGCTTAATAAGTATGCTAGTTTCTGGACTCCATGTAAATTTTTATTTTATAAAAAAGCCCTTTTTTGTTAGTGAAAGCAACTTTCCGAAGAGAGTTGTCCCACAGTGTCTTTAATCGTAATGACGTTGTGGCATCATTAAGTCAAATGGTAGGTTCATCTGTAGAATTGTTAATTTCATTGTGGCTTGAATAGCTTTTGTATTTGGACTGGTTTTTCTAGAGTATATTGTGAAAAAGTAGCCAGTCCATCTAAAGCTAAAGTTTAGGAGCCTTGTGTTTTGCTATTCCAAGAGTATCAGTGATTGGCATATGGTTGAAATTTCGAACCATCAACCGCTTCGACAGTTATAGGTATGCTAGAGTATGAAAGTTTAACATATCTGATAGTCTTTCTGAGAAACAGGGCTTGTAAGTGGTACCTTTTTGGAATATGAACTGAGATAGGATTATTAAAGAGGAAGGGATGCAGGGCTTTTTCCCTTGCATTATACGTCTACATCCTTATTCGGCGTGCTTGACGTTGAGCTCGCCTTCTACAATAATTGGAAAAAAAGCTTGTAAATGAATGAGAGGACATTATCATGAAGTTTGTCATCTGCAGAGTGGTAGATTGCGGGGAATAAGGCATCGCTGTAATCCGGAAATGTGATTGAGATAACGAGAATCTCGTAAACTTTAGTATTATTCTGAGAAATAAAACAAGATGACAGTTTGTTATGCACATCGACCAAGAAACTTTTGCCTCAACGTACAGAACCTAATAGGAGGTAAGGGAGATAGTTCATTATTCTTAATTTGTCATTTGGCGTTGCATGCTTCTCCGTAACCATATGTGTTCTTCTATAGAATACAATTTTAGAGCTAATTAGTTTTGTTTCTTAAACTGCCGGCATTTTAGACTATTATGAAAATGCACGACGTGAATTGATAGATTAGGCACAGCTTTAAAAGCTGGTTTTCTAAATAGCGTGCTTACAAGTTTGCTTATTCCTGAGCTTCGTAGCTAAAATAAAAAGGTCTTTAAATCTTGAAAGACATTGTTGTTCTGTCTTTATGTCTTAAAACATTTTGTTGGCTTTTTGTAGGAGCTGCTAGGGTATCTGCTTATGGTCGTTTGAAACTACGCGATAGGATTAAGATCTTGGGTTTCTTTGCGGAGTTACTGCGTCTCGGAAACTTAGTGCAATTTCTGTAATTGTCTTGGATGCAGTTGACACAGAGCGCCAGACCAAGGAATCCCGTCCTTGGGTACTCAAGAGAGCACTCCTATTTGGGTTGTAAATATCCAAGGTCCAAGACACTGGTCCAGGGCGGCGCAGACCCCGCAACCCTTGCCTGACTTTATACATAGCATAGGAGAGAATGTTACGCTTGCAAAAACTGTACGCTGAGACGCCTTTGCCTTCGATCACCACTCCATTGGCAACGTTGTTTCAATTGAGTGCTCCATCCGCTCTGTCAGTCTCCGTCACAGAAGCTGAGGGGGCCAAACCCCTGAGGACTACGTTAGTAATCTCCACGGACACGACAGTAACAGTACGGTTCTTGGCAAGCTCGAACCTGCCTTAGAATAAACTAGGGCTCTAGTTCTGTGAAGTCAACTTATATAGCCTTGTGGTTGAGACTACCTAAGTACAGATCCTAGCCAGTACTTCCCAGAAATTCTCCTGTGTCAACTCCCAGGGAAGATGCAGTTGACACAGTTGGGTTTGTCCACTGTGTAACTGATGCAGTCTCTTGAAAACAGTGGCCTTGCACACTTAATACATTTCAATTCATATTTACAGGCAACTTGAGCGTGACTGGCAGCGGTAGTACTGCATGGCTCCAACGCGGTTAAGGTAAGTTTCAACTTTCATCTGAAGAAATTGTAAGCATTTGACGCTGAAGATAGTTCTCGCCATCTCGTTTTTGGGAAAGGAGAAAAGGAAGAGTGGGAATTTTCCCGCTTCTCCTCACGGTATCTCACTAGCTATTCAGTATTTAGAGCTTGGAATCCTAAAGAATTCATTCTGGATATCTTCAGCTCTTGTATATAAGAGAAGACATATAATTACAATTTTGAATTTGTCCTCTTTCACCAGAGGAGACAGTTATATTTTATTTCCTTTTTATCAAACAGAGCAGTCATTGTTCTATGCGTAGCAATATTTCTCACTAAGATGTTGCAGTGCGTGTGTGTAACGTTGTTGCTCTTAAACTCTGTGATTTTGGTTTCTTTAATCATTTTATGAACTTTCTGCTTCTAAGCTGAGACTTTCACCACTGTGGGAGGACGTTCCTTTTAGAAAGCTGAACTATTTATCTCTCAAATGTCTTTGGAGACTTCAGTGGCGAAGTTGACAGAATTCATGTCGGTAGAAGCTTTGTCGCATAAGCTTTATCCAGTGTTTCCTCAGGAGTCAATTGAGGGACTTGGCTGGTAACGAAAATACTTTAATATTTTGGGGGGGGATTTGTTTTAGTTTTCAATAAAATTCTATGTGAACGTTTTCTCATTTTTAATGAAATAGACATTAGTTCAACACATATACCAGTATAACGGGAAATGCGACCGATCTATTTTTTATGTGCATGCATTAACTCATCTAACTACAAGTTCATCTTGAAAAGGTAAATGACCCTTGCCTTAAATAATAGATAACATAACAGAAATTTCAATTTCATTTTAAAGCCCTTCTGTGTTTCAACATTTTCGGAGTCTGTTAGTATCAGCTCGAAATCCATGTATTAATCATTGGCAAAACTAGCTTACGTGCTCTTCCGCGAGACACCAGGACCTGCAAAGTTTGTACCTGGTGGCAAAAAGGCCTAGTTACCTACCGGTTATTAAAATGTGACATATTAATACAGAAATGGATAACTGAAT